TTACTTGTCTCACAACTAGTACGACCTTCCCACGTTTTCGACAGAGTTTATTGACCTCTCTTCTGTACAATTCAGCATCCGTAAAGTCTTGTAGATTTTTCAACATAACTCAGCGTGACGATGCCTGTAAACTGGCTTCTCTCATGTTAAATCCCTAATGTGAGAATAAACTATTTATTTATTTATTAAGAAGCAACTGCATGCATGCTGTGAGAGCTAATAGGCACTGACACAGAGCCATGTCTGCAAAAGCGTTCGTTTCTAAGCGTAGGCTTCTCTTCCTCTATGCTACATTGTTCTGTGGGACCAGAATAGGGGTCTGTCAATCTCTTAGAACCAACGGGATGGTCGCCAGCTGTACTATAGTGGTGAAACTCCCAGACAGTCAGCATTTGCGAACCTTTTGACAGTTGAACATCTGCTCTAATGCGAACAAATATGTCGCGACGAGATAGGACTCAGGCGTAAGTTGTTGAGGTGTAACCTGCACTGCTTGTAGAGGAAGGTTCTCCAAGAGCAGACAAAATTGAGGAATCAACAGTGTTGACCGAAACTTTAGGTGAATTATTAAACGGCTCCCTAATTCAAGGGAAAGTACCCGATCTTCGGGTATTGGACCATATCATGAAAATATTCAGACGAGGTCAAAGAAAAGGCAAAAAATGATAACAACTGACTGAGAGCTATTGATTTCCTAAGCTACAACTTTCAAAGTAGTCGACTCGGTAACGTACAACGGATTGGGGCATCATGGGATATCTAGCAACTTCTTTAGAACTTAGCTTTGTAGGTTTAGAGAAGGAAACCCTTGCATTACTAACTTGCCTACTGAAAAATGCAAGTGAACTGGTGGTGCCAAAAATATCTGGGCAACAACTTGGTATCTTATTCTATATCTCAGAGAATGAACACTGGCATATTATATATCGGGTGAAGGTTTTCTTTTCTACGTGTTGGCTGATCTTGTAAATCAATTCCTGCAAACCAGGTGTAGGTCAATTCATCTGAGTTCTATGAAAACCGACTTGACGCGTACTAACGATGTGTAAATAATTTCAATCACACATGGCTTCCTTATCCTAATTTAAGTCCCCTCTCTACTATTTCTTTATTCTGTGCGTAGGTTAACCATGGTTCTTGTGGTTCACTGCTTTCTGACACAGAAGGCAGTTAACTAAAGTTTATACTGTTCCGTAACCAACTTTCTGAACCTTTTGAAAATAATCATTATCTATTAGCACGGTTGTTTACCAATATTCTGCATGCGGACTATGAATAACTCAAAATTTAGAGTCTAATGTGTCACTTCACACTGATCTGAACATTCTAATATTTTCAACTACATACTGCATTAATTTGTTTGTGTACACCAAACTGCATAAATATGCGTAAAGCGCATTTGTGTACCATTTGACAGTTATCGTTCCTGCAGGTAGTAAAATTCAGTCAATTTATGTTAGTTAGCGGTTGAGATGCTCACGTGGCGAAATAAGAAGCGTTACAAAAATAAAACTCACTGATATTGAGTACAAATTTGTAGACGTTTAGTCATGACTCCTCACAACACCTGGAAGTGAGTGAGAAAAAAATGAAATAGTTTATGCGAGCTTTTAAACAGGTTATCGATGTTAATTCAAGCAATTTGAACAGACATGTATTCATTTAGTCCTGTAATATCCCTGTAGCACCTCTCTACAGTCTATATATATATATATATATATATATATATATATATATTCTAAGTAATTTAGAATCCTGTGTTCCATCATCAGTAATCTTTTTTTTTTAAAAGACCGTTTGTCAGCACAAATTCCTAAAAGCAAGTCTGCAGATCCTGTATTTATTTCCAAGTTTGTCCGATGCTCTTGTGACCTCCGAGATCTTTTCGTATTTCATTTTTAAGTACAAGTCGTAACTAATAATTTCTCCGAATATAGATACATATGCCGACCGTCTGCATTTGAATCCAACCCAAATGAACGGGACAGTTATATTTTTGTTTAAGCATACTGGGACAATAAGGATACAGCTGTTAGTTTTAATTTATTTGTTAGATAGAAAGATGAAATCAGTTTTTTCAGTCTAGTGGCACTTCATCCTCAAATAATTAGTAAATGGAAGTGAATTAAACATGTGTGCACTCGAGCCACTTTCTCTATAGACAGCAGGTTTATCTGGATTTGAGTTACTTAGAATCCCTCTGAGACTCTGTTGCACATTTTGTCATTTCAAACTGAATTAAGTAGGTTTTCAAAGCCTATTAAATGTTGCATGGGAGCTGATATTTTAGATATCTTTTTCGGTTACTTACTCAGTGATTCGGTAAACCTTTTATTCTAAGACCTTGCTTCAATGAAAAAGGTATAGTTGATGGTAGATGACATTTTCTGCAGTTATGCTTTTGGAAATGCGTCATATATTTTCTTTTTCTTGGTCATGAAAATATGTACCTTATGATCTGAAAAGGACTTTAATCTTGTTACTCCTTAGAAAAACTTAAACTTAGCATACCCTTTTTAACCTACTATGATTGAAACAATCGGCTGATTAGATTCACCTTTCTGAAGTCCATCAAGCGTAAGAACCCGTCACTTAGAAATCCAATGAGGCATGTCAGCAGACAACCTTATAAACAGATACATTCCAACCGTTAGCTGCTACTGTGACCTGATGACTGAGCCAACATATCAAAGTTACCCAACGAATTGTGCTGGTATAAAAACTTGTTGCTTGAATTCCCACCGTATCTGAAAGACTTGTTGGATAGTGGTAAGACGAAAAGTTTTTATCACCATAGTGGGGTCTAAGGACGAAAATTTACTTCCGACTGTAAAGGATATAACAATAGTCTTGTGTTTTTTTTACAAATGACCATTATTCCCTACTGATTTGTCTTCTTTTCTTAATGAGGAGCTAGGAAAAGCAGATCCCAAAAATAGTGCCCTCATTCCTTTTTTTAATCTCCCACTGCTAGAGTATGGGATTTTATAACCTAAATGCGACACAAGCAAGCTTAAGTCTGAGAATTTCTTGAAACAAAGTGCATGACTTTCCTAGAGGAGATGTCTTTCAGGTTCTTCGGTTATTTAATAATATTATGTCCATTTTCTTTTTCTGTCACCTCTGGAAGAAGTAACCATACATGATGTAGGCCGCCAAGAAGTATGAACAATAATCATACATCTATCAACAGACTTTCCAAATCTTTCTTTTTCAATCTTCCTTCATACCCTTCTATTGCTCCTTCCAGATCTGTAGCCTTTAGTTAGACTAAGGGAGGAGAATGTGTATGCAGTGCGCTCGCAGGGAAACGACTAAAACAATAGACAGAAAACTTCGAAAAAGAGTTTAGCTGACCTTCGGGAAGTTTTCAGTCCTTCACCATCTAGTTAAATTGTGAGAAGAACATTGAGATGGAACCTCTAACTCTCACAAAAGTTACAAAGTTCAGATCATCTGAAGTGCTAGCCAGATATAATCCACTTTGACTGCTATCAGTTGTTAATTGTCCCAATGTTTTAAAGTGAAAGGAGCAATTATATCTTGATAATCACAGTCTAATCTTTTCGGCGAACGTATTGCTTAAGACTTTAGATTCTATAATACTTGATACCTAACTGAAGTTCAGGAACGGTGAACGCTGAAACTCATCCGGTTTCGCACCTAGATATGGATGTATCTACCTTTCTCCAGGTATTGGAATGTATGCACACTTAATGGCACCAGTTACTAGCTGTGTTTCGTGACCTGAAAATGGCATTCGACTCCATCCTTCGAGAGGTTGAATGACACTGTCTGTCACAAAAAGGGTGTCAAGCAAGTACATCACCCTTTGAAGGCTCTGTATCCGAATATCCGTAGAAATGTTGAAGCCTTTGGTATGGTATCAAGTGAGTTGTATACGTTGACTAGTGTACATCAAATACGTTCATTTTCTCTTTTGTTTTTGACCGGTAATGGGGGACTGTGCTATAGACCCAGATTACGCAGGTTACACGACCCTCCTAGTTGAAGACGCTGATGAACTGCAGATACATTGATTGGTAGTTTGAGAATGTTTGGGATGCATTTCATATCACTCAAATGCAAGCCGTTCTGCAGGACTTGTCTGTGTTAATAGCTCGTTTGACAACAGAGAGTGAAGGGGTTGATCACACCGACCAGCTGGCTTGCTCACAAAGCCGGTCAAACTCTGATGCATCGACCGTCACTTAGCTTTCACCAAGCTACCCCGTCGACGGTGTTTGTAATATCCGATTGCCTATTAGGGCCGACTCTGTTCTACTATATGGCTGTGGAACAGACATGAAACGTGTAGAATTTAGAAGGATACAAGTATTCTATCCTTGTTGTTTTGGTGCATTATTTGCATGTCACAGAACCACCATGTTGATTAGGTGAGTTAGTTGATGCAATTGCAAATCCTCATCTTCTGTGGTGTTTGGAAAAAGTTGTGCAGGCCCAGTCACCGTCTACCTCCCCGTGCAATGTTAGCTGGTGTGCGTATAGGTCAAGAACGGTTAAATGTAGCCAAACTAAAGCAACTTTAGCCAATGAATTCTCTGACAATTGATGGGAGCTGTGTAACGAAATGTAAGCTTTCAAGTTATGTCCATTTGATACCTGAAACCTTTGGTTGGAAATTCTAGGGAATATGGCCTGTAATCTTTCTCAGTACTGATAGACTCACACATCATTCATATCTTCGTTGACATGTTACATTGCGTTTCTTATTTCAACTTTCTTTTCTTATCATGACTTTCTCTGACTTTCAATTTATCTTTCATTTTGGTTTGCGAACTTGTGCTGTAGTAACTTTTACTGCTGTCCAGTAGTTACAGATCCTATGTTGAGATTGAGTGATCGAATGGATTAGATCTATTTATAGGTCAGACATATATGTCTATATATTGGAGAAATATCCACTCTATTATTTTCCCTTTCTAATTTTAGCAACAGGAAAGCCACAATAAGTTTCGTCCTAAAATCTGACATTCTTAATGTCTGCAAATAGTTATAAGAATGACATTTATGAATCTTCATCTCCTACTCTTTCACTGAAAGATGATCAGTGCTCTTTAATCGATGAAGGCTTTTGGCATGATAATGGTATGTTTGAATCTTTTGGTAACTGTTATTACTTTTCATATAGATGTAAATATTTCAAAAAGACATTAAATTTGTCATATGGAATTTGAGTAGTCTCACAATTTTGTAGTGAAAACGTCTCCTTTTAAGCTGATCAATAAAAATGTAGATGCTTGTTAGTGAAATGCTATTATATAGCCAACCCAGTATCTATTTGCAGTTATGCGCACTAAGCACTTGATCACGTCCTTAGCGTGATGGCTAGTGGTACTGCTTTGCAATACGAATCTTGGTAGGTAGAGCGGAGTTTGTACCAGCGACCCGAATTAAAATTTGTCGGCTGGACTGATGAACCACAGCTCCATTTTATTTAAGATTTTCAGTTACGTTCTGTGCAAAGATAGGGAGGGAGAAAGAGAGTAGGGTACCTGCTCGTATCTTACTTCACAAATCATAAGATCACACGACAACCTACCATCATACTACTGATGAACCACCAATGAGGTTATAGTGATTTATACTAACAGTCTTTAGATATCATAAACCACCACACAGTAGGTTTAACTGGTAGTGTCGTACACAAACGTGTGTGGAGTTTTGCTGTTTGAACTAAATTTTTCGTTTATGGATTTAAGGTTTGATTCCGATTAGGTCTTTTCTCCTTTACTTATCGTCATCTCTGTGGTAAAACAGTCTGATAATAAAGTCTATTTTTAAGTAGCTCCGTATCAAATTTTATGATCATGGCACAAAATAGTCAATTCACATAGTGTTTACCCACATTTTGTTATAATCCGACTAACAATTGTTATTTATATAACTGTTGCAGTCATAGTATAATGTGATTTTTATGTCTTTTAGATTTAGTGTTAGCTGCTGAGTTGGGCAAAGCTCTACTGGACAGAAATCGTAAGCTCGAATTGGCCTTAGAAAAGTCGAAAAGTATTGAACGTGAAAAGAATGCTGAAATTGAAGTGAGTGATTTTTGTTAGTTCACCTTTTTGTTTTGTTTTTTTGATTTTGTTAAAAATGTCATTTGATTGTCAAATCGTTAAATTTAGATATGTTATTCTAGATCAACGGGAAAATACGGATTCATAATTGACTAACCAGTAACTCGAAACCTACTCTAGATGAATAGACAAGTTGAGTATTTAAACCGACGAGATAAACATCGTCATTAGTCAGTTACTTTTCAACAGTTAAAGAGTGTTACGGTAGCGTTGGAGAATTATACGCAAACTGCTTGTCTAGGGTCCTTAAAATATTCAGATTCAACTTTCGGGGCCTCTTGGTAACATGACTAAAAGTCAACCAAGTTGACACAAATAAATCCACTTTATATCCCCAAAAGGCTAGGCATTCGACTGTTCTTTATCAGTTATACTTTCCTCCTCGCTCACACTTATCAACGTTAAAATCCTTCTTCTTCTCTCCACTTCCTCTTTATTTGCTCTTATGAAATATAATAAAGTGAAGTGTGTTGGTTGCATAATCTCAATTTAGGTGCTGATGTTTTACAAGGTGATCGATGTAGACCTCTAGGGAAACAAAAAGCATACTATGAAGGAAAACAAGTTACGTTTTGTAATATTTTCGATTATTTCATTTGATATGGCACCCAGTGATATAGTATTATTTACTACAGGACGTTTCGAGCAAGATCATTACTCTTATTCATATCAACATAATCGCAGAACTTCCTGTCTTAATTTTTTTATGCTTCTACTGCTTCTCATTCTTCCATCTGATTAGTAGCAGGATTTTCCATTTATCCGGAATCAGTGTTGAGTCAATGAATAGAGATTCAGTGGTCAACTTTCTCTCTCTCTCTCTCTCTCTCTCTCCATTTAACTACATTAGCCTTTATAACTGTTACTCTTTCCCATCTTGTTGTGTTGATTGCGTGTTATCGCATGTGTAGCTATGGCTGAATTCTCCTTTAGACCACTCATCATAGTAGTAGTATACATGTTAAAGGAGGCAAATAACAATGGTTTAGTGTTTTCTGACCTTTGATAATTTGTCTTGAATGTTCTGTCACGAATCAAAGTGACGGCTTCAACAGTAGCGTCATAAATACGTGAAGCATATTCAAATGTTATGCAAATGTTCAGGTATTGATTTTGCTAACCGTGAGTGTTGCTCAGTGGTAAGTTGGGGAAAAGGCTTTTGTCGCACCTTAACCTCTCTAACTCTATATTTCATCCAGTCAACCTGAGAGAGAATCTTTGTTAGATTGAAAACTGTGCTGTTTGCTATGACTAATTAAGTAAGATTATGGTGTGTTAAAATCCCTAAGTTCTACTCTTATGTTCACTTTAAAACCAAAAGATAGATCCAAATGATCAAGCGTTAACAAAGATGGACACTAAGCTAAGATTTGTTTCCGTGTTGCATAACCGTAAGCCTTACTGGTCTGTTTTTGGAGAGTAGAGATCATTTCACCCTCATATTCATTTGACTTGTTGACCAAATGATGTTAAGTGCGTTTTAAACCCTATCTTCCAACTAACCATTTAAACAAAGCTACCAACTACGAAAATTAGTAATTATGAGTTTGTACAGGAATAGTTTGATTTCATTTATCTCTTTCTTTCTCCTGTGTTCTGAAAAACTCTCTATTTCCACTCTTGTTCTCTTTTCTCATCTGACTCATCATACTGAAAATTTTGTCGAGTTAATTTTGATGACTAATAATGTTTGAGTGTTTTTCAGTCTATTTTTTTTTTTTACAACAAACTCACTACCTTTGTTCATGGTATATTTAATTTCTTTGTGATATTTTCAAAATCTTTTTTCTTGTCAAAATGAAAATTTGTGATGGAAAGTGTTTGTATCTTAGGTTGAACACCAAACTATAGAAACCCGTGCTTTATAAAAGTACGACGTTTATTATGTCAAAGAGATAAATATGACTGTTGGTTTTTATTATTTTCATTTGGTTCTCTTACTGCCTGTTGGCGTCCACACCGATGTAAAAATCCTTAAGTATAGCAACTTTAACTGTTACGCACTAATTTCTGGTGGCATCTTGTTGATATCTACCTCTTGCCAGCATTAAATTGATAGGTTGAAAGTGGCATACGTGTTACTTTACACTACCATTTAGTTGTTATTGAAGCTTGTTCAACTACATTCTAATCAGCTGATGCTAGTATTTAATGAATACTTGCGACAGAATAAGGGATAACTGTAGGGCTTTGCACAACTGCACTCTGATTTGTTACAAGTGTCTCCAGTTTAACCTGAATCCAGTCGATATTACTTTGAATATCATCGGATTATCTTCAAAGTTAATAAATTGGGATAAGTAACTTTTGTGCAGGATATAACCAGCTCTGTAGGCATGTCATGTCAGAAAAGAAAGACAAGTGTAAACACTCATTGACTTTATTATTATTATTATTAGTCCCCTGGGTTCCTAGTGGAACATAGGGCTTCAGTAGCACGTCTCCAGTGACCTCTGTTCTCTGAGATCTTTTGAACCTGGCTCCACGACAGCCCACAAGCTCTCATTTCCTCCTCGCACGACCCCCTCCATGTCACCCTCGGACGTCCAACTCGTCGCTTCCCATGGGGATTCCACTCGAGTACCTGGCCTGACGCGTGATGTCCTCAGTCGGCCTTCTCAGTGCATGCCCAATCCATCTCCACTTCTTCCTGCATATTTGCTGGGTAATAGGTTCTTGGTTGGCTCGTTCCCAGAGTTCCTTGTTGCTTATTCTTTCTGGCCATCTGATCTTCAGTAGCGAGCCAGCGTAAGCAGTTGTTGATGAATGTCTGTAGTTTATTGGAAATGCCTTTCGTGACGCGCCAAGTCTCTGAACCATACAAGAGCACTGACTTGACGTTGGTGTTGAAAATCCGTATCTTGTTCCACATGCTGAGTGCAGAAGATCTTCACACTGGTTTCAGGTTAATGAACGCCTGTCTTGCTTTTCCGATTCCGACTTTGACGTCCTCGTCCATCCCGCCTGTAGTTGAAACAGTGCTTCCTAGATAAGTGAAGGAGGTTACTTCCTTCAAGTTTCTCCCGTTGATGGTGATCGGAGTTTGTTGTTGTTGTTGGAGTTGTTGGTGCGGTATCTTCATCACCTCTGTCTTCTCTACGTCCACTTGAAATCCCATCTTCGCTGCCCTGCTTCTTCTGTCAACTTGTTAGTTTTTGCCTGCAGATCTTCAAGTTTGTGTGACATTAGGCATAGGTCATCGGCGAAATCCAAGTCTTCTAGGTTCTTTTCCGCAGTCCAGTGTATCCCCCTCTTCTCGCTGCCCACTATTTGCTGCATGATCCAGTCCACCACAATCAGCAATTGGCTTCCCGAAGGCTTTCACCAACTGGCGTCATTTCGCCTCTCCGATTCCAGCGGGGAATAAGTTTGTTTTCATTTTTTATATTTTGTTTGTGCTTTGAAGTTTCTTTAGCGGTTAGATTTGTTTTACGGGGTAGGGTTGCTAGCCCTATGCCCAACCTTCCCTCTTTACCCGGGCTTAGGACCGGCTAGTAACTAGTAAACTAGTTAACCAGGCGAGGTTACTCATTGACTTAGGTAAATGGAAAATGTATCATGCATACTTGAACATTGTCTGCTACAGTATCCAGTATTAGATGAAACGGAATCTGGCTACAGAAAGGTTGAGTGCTTAGATAAAAAAGTACCATCAATTTATTAAGTCTAGGCCTTATGACTAGAGTATTTGATATGTTAGGTTTCTATGATTGGTTATAAGAGCATTTCACGGTAAAAAAAGACAACGGTCTTGTTCTATTCGGGCGCTTATCTAACTAGTGTGTTATAAAATAAACTGTACACTAAAATTTGTGCAGCAAACTGATAGGAGTTCTGATCTCATAATGCTTAGAAGTAATTACTATATTTATGGTGTCTGACTCATGTGACAATTTGCCCTTAATTGAGTTTTGTTGAGTTTTAAGTATCACGCATGTAAGCTGCTTGTCTCTTGATATGCGAATAGTCTTAATACAGAGACCATTTACGAGTGCAACTAAAACCAAGCACATTGTTATTAATTTCAGTGCAACTTTGACTATAATATTAGGTGTGGTGTGCAAAAGTTAGCACTCGAATGTGTATTATGTAATCCAGCCAATCAGTCAGTCGCTTTCAACATGGAACCCGAAATTACTGAGTGGCCTAGTTGGTGAATACTAACGTTCTCGCCACTAAACTTGATGGTCCTTAACTCAATCCCCCATAGTCTATCAGTTGCTCACTATTGTGGAGTCTCAAAGTAGAAAAAAGTAGAAGTCTAGGGGCCACATGTGTTCAACGATTATCCAACTGATGTCACTTCGTGATGAAAATTGCCTAGAAAACAATCGACTTCCATAAACTATCGATATGCAGTCTAACTCAGCGGTGAAGTACAGTTATATTCACTAGGCAATGAGCCATACCTAGTGTGAAAATGACGAATATTACGTGGCTTCAAACCTCAGTAGGTGGGGCAAGTTAGAATAGGTAACCCACTGGTAGAAAATTGAGTACCTTAATCTGTAGGCTACAGCTTCACAGCAAAGTTGTGCTTAGTAGCTGAGCTTCGTTATTTATCTCAAACAAGAGCAATAGGTACAGGAAGCTTTCAGTAGTCAATTCTTCAAGGGACTCCAAAGGGAGAACATTTTGTAGGTAAAAAGGGAACCGGGTAAAAGGGAATGATGGAGAATAATTATTATATCAGTGGTTCAACTGAATAACTAAGTTTCAGCTGACATAATTAAATTCCATTGCCTTTAGTTTCATTTGTCTTATTGTAGCTTTTAAAGAAATTGATGTTGAAAGGTTCATACTGCCAGTTATTTCCAATATTTCATCCGGATTATAGAACGACAGGACCTCTGAAAACGCTGGTTTCCTTGGGACAACTTCATACTGACATATTTGGATGTTACAATCTCTCTTTACTGCAATTATCATGCATTTTCTGTCGAAGTTAATTCATTGTATAT